ACACACACACACACACACACACACACACACACACACACACACACACACACACACACACACACACAGAAGAATACATGCAAAAAAAGAAGAACACACATACACACATAGCACACAAGCATTCCCAGAGTGATTTATCTAATAGGAGAATAATTAATACTTCTTGACGCTTACTCACTAACACCCCTATAAACATAGCACACTGCTGTTTAAAGGTACCACTAATAATCCCTAAGTGTGTGTGTGTGTGTGTGTGTGTGTGTGTGTGTGTGTGTGTGTGTGTGTGTGTGTGTGTGTGTGTGTGTGTGTGTGTGTGTGTGTGTGTGTGTGTGTGTTTATGCATGTGTGTGTGTGTCAAAAGGAGCAGCAGCAATTAACAACAAGTTTATTTTGCTATCTGCTTTAGCCTGATTTCCCCAGAGAAATCACTGCTTTGTTTCATCTGACTGGGAAGTCTTGAATGTGCGTGCACGTGTGTGTTGTGTGTGTCACTTTTCTCTAATAGTGAAGGTTTCAGTATGAATAGTAATGCTCTGTGTGTGTGTGTGTGTGTGTGTGTGTGTGTACTTCAGAGACAGAATCCGGATGAGAGCATATGCTCAAAATTCTCTTATTAATTTTTTTTGGCTCATACATAAATAATACGACCATTAATCAAAATACAGCGAGATCCAGTGAAAATCCACTTATAGAGACGGATGGAGAAAATTCCAGCCTTTGTACCCTCAGAATAGACCGAGGCTGGGCGAAGTCGCTCTACAGCTCACACATTCACCATCCCCTACCTTCATCATAAATACTCTATAAGGTTCCTTGCTGTCGTACATTGAGATACTTATTTATCATCATCATTGTGTATCTTTGCCAACAGTGTTGGATAACTCCCAGTTGACGTCCTCTAAGGACTGAACACGTGCTTTTTTACTACACAATACAAAAATAAGGCTGTGTTAATGCTATGGACACACTTTGTCATTGGTTAACTCTGATATACAATTATTTGAATTAAAGGTTTCAGAGGAGATGGACTTTTATTAATCCCTCGTGGGGAAATTGTTTCTCTGCATTTGACCCATCCTAGTGTTCAGGAGCAGTGGGCTGCCATTTTGAACGGCGCCCGGGGAGCAGTGTAGGGAACGTTGCCTTGCTCAAGGACACCTCGGTAGCACTTGGTCTTGCCGGGACTTGAACTGGTGACCTTCCAGTTGCCAAGCCAAGTCCCTATCGACTTCGCCACCACCGCCTCAATGTGTTATACCACAGGCATCAATGAATAAAGGGGTCAGAATTTCACCTCTTCTACTCGGTCCTTTATCTAAAAACATGTCGTCATGATTTGGAAAAAGAAATATCCCAACGAAGCCATTAACTAACTAGCAGGAAAAGGAACATGAGTGGTTTTCCTGTTTCTTAAATGTGTTAGTTTATCGAATATAGTATGCATATCTTGCTTGGCTTGAACCCTAAACTGTCTGCTTTCTGATTACCATGTTTACATAAAAATTGATGTAAATGTCGGACTGAAGGGTCGGGAGTAACTCGGTTAAAGTCTGGTTCTGGGTAGTGGGCAAATCCACTGAAAAAAAGGGAAACTTTTACCGTCTTTTCATCCAAACACAATTCAATTTCTGGTTAATTTCTACTCTAACCACCTTCACAAAGTGTTGGACTAGTTGAGAAATGTTCTTCTGTGTATACTGCATTGCATTCAAATGGTAATGTTCCTGATTTTACACAATGCAATGTCTTTGGGCCTTGACCTATACTAGGAACTTATACAGTCAGGATATTTAAACTGCCTTCTGTGAGACACTCCTTTGTGACAGTACAATTCACGTAGTATATATTTTTTATATGTACAATAAAACCCAGCCCAGCCATAATAGAAATGCAGTGAGTCTGTGTATACTGCACTGTGGCCTTGTGAGACTGCATTAATCATAGCCTCAATTACATGATTTCTCTTTCCTTTCCCTCTATTTTCAGAACCTTGTTGACATGACATGTTGCCCAATAAAACATATCGTAAACAGATTGTATATACAGTACATTCAGCATAGTGTCTTCTGTGTTTCTCAGGTTGATTTCCTTGCCTTGGAGATGCGTAAGGGGAAGGTGAATTTCCTTTGGGACGTGGGTTCGGGTGTGGGGAGGGTCGAATATCCCCATCACACCATCCACGATGGGAACTGGCACAGAATAGAGGCGTCTCGGTAAGAAGTTTGCACACACACACACACACACACACGCACACGCACACGCACACACACACACACACACACACACACACACACACACACACACACACACACACACAAATGCACATGCTTTGTTTCTCTGGCACATAAACAGGGCTTTCCAACACACACTGATGTTGGCTTCAGCCCAAGAAAACATCTCAAAATGTATTATTTAAATATTGTTCATTTTAAGTTCAAACAAAAATGTAATTCAATTTAGATTAAAAAAAACAAATACACTTTAGCATTACAGTATCAACACGTATTAATTGTATTACTTTTTCTTTATTATTTTTGAGATTATTAAGCCGCTCTTTTGCTTAATTATTATTTTTGGCTTTCTGCTTCTCCAAAATAAATGTATTTAGAGCCTAAGATAGAAACAGTGAAATACTGTACAATATTCTCTTAACATGAAGGATTTCGTATACATTTTATTAATATAAAACAAGGGTTGCATATTTTTTGTTTTTCTTTGCTTCTACCTTCATGTCTTGAAGTTCTAGGAATGATGTTTGATATCAAATATTTCATGAAACAACAGATATATTCACCTAACCTTCACTACAGCCGAATCTAACAATCAACAACAAATACAAGTAAACGTAACCCAACCACCAAATGACATCCTTTTATTCATGCTGCAGCAGAAACCATGTTGTTTGACTTGAGCGATCAAGAGCCTTGAGGGTGTGGCACATCATTACATAGATACAGTGTGATCTAGTGGAACCAGTTTCTCTCTCTAAAAGCCAAAATGGAGCAGACCATCCAACAGGAGAACCACTCACACCAAGGGGACATCCCAACTGCACTATGTATTAACATCTGAGAGATTTCCCAAATGTGTTTTTTCAACGCGAGCATACAGACTATAAGTCTTAAAAATGTCCCCCTACTCGACACAGAAATGCAGTTTCTGCGTTGAAAACTAACTCCAAGGTGGGAGATTAATTTCACTTTACAGCTCAGAGGTTCCCCTGCTACGACCCGGCTCCACTACGTGTTTCTATCATTCATCTTTATCACCGAGAGTTCATAAAAACTGATTCAAAGAGGCTCCAACATCTTCAGTCACTGAGAATATCTCTGAGGAAATACAGGAACATAATAACATGGAACCCATTATGTTAGACAAATATCACTCGTGAGCTTCAATAATCAGGAACATGTATTTATTATCTTTGCAAGAATGGAAGTAGTCATCACACACATTACAGAGTTACACAGTTACAAGATGGAGGAATACCGGTTCAAAGCAGTATACAATGTTTAGTTCAGATTAGCTATAAGCAATAAACATGACAGTCATATGCCTATCTCCCTAGGGGCTGAATCCTCATGTTTAATCGTTGGAACAGAGCTATTGTATGTTCAACACAGTTCTAGGTAATCATACATCCTGTTACGTACACAGCTACAGTTGGGCCTATCATGTGATATTGGAAGAGTACATTCAGTATTTTCCCAACACATTGCCTCTAATTCTCTCTGTCCTCAGTAATGGGTTGAATGGCACCATATCAGTTTATCCTCTGGAGGGCTCCATGGCGGGTATGATGCCGACCCCCGCCAGCGCCAACTCGCCCACGACCTTCACCATCCTGGACGTGGACCAGAACGCCTACCTGTTTGTGGGAGGGATACTCGGCACCGTCAAGGTCACTGTAACACCAAGAAATCTGTCAAACCATGTTAACCCTCGTACTCACTGGATAAGAGATCTGTTGCAGTTTTTGCATCTAGAGAAGATCCGGTCCACTCTGAAGGGATCTACTGATGGATTGTATAAGGCCTGGCAGCCATTGATCACACACGTAGAGAAGTGAAAGCTGGATTGAACTCTTTTAAGATGATTGGGTATAGATTTGAGTGTTGCTGAAATCTGGGCTACTAAAATCTCTAAAGCAATATTGTAGGTGTTGTATATATTTTGCCTTTTTGTTTGTCGTTTGCTTTGTATGTGTTGATTAGTTTTTCTTTCTTGCTGGGGTGGAGGTGGGGGGTATATTTGATTCGATATGTACTTGACTGCTCAATGACATTCTGTATGAAAAATGTTAATCATAATTTTCCTCCTATCTTTTTCAGAAAGCGGACGCAGTGAGAACAAACACCTTCACAGGCTGCATGGGGGAGACCTTCCTGGACGGGAAACCTATTGGACTGTGGAACTACAGAGAGAGACACGGAGACTGTAAAGGATGTGTCGTCAGGTACATTTCATCACAAAGTTTCCTTTTATTTTTGGGATATATATCTGTAAATATTCAACAGGCCACTTCATTGTCTTGTGACATTTCAAACTCCTTTGACAGTTGCACGGTTACAAAAGAGCGATAGTCAAATGAAATACTTGTTATCTTTACTTCCTTTAGCCCCCAGCGGTCGGATGCGGAGGGGACGGTTCAGCTGGACGGGGAGGGCTACTCCGCGGTGGGACGTCCCACCAGGTGGAACCCAAATGTTTCCAGCGTGACCTTTAAGTTCCGCACATTTTCCTCCGAATCCCTGCTCATGTATCTGGCTACTGAAGATATGGTATGTGTTAAACTAAGTGAAAGGAACTACAGTGATTATGACCAATGTAAATGTCAGGGCTGATGGCAGCGACAAACTTTTCTTTCCTCATGTAATACATATTTGACAGGTACCATCCTAGTGTAGAATCCTTAAGAATATGCAAAAAGTCCCCTTCTTTTTTTAGAGCAAAAGTTCCAAGAAACAATAACAAACAAACAGAGGCCAGAGACTTTAGTTTTCGGTCGGTGTAAGCGGCTGCTATAACTGTCTAGATTCACAAAGTTAAGTCAAATTGTAGCTGCTTAAATTCATAATTCTTTTAAGATCGATACCCAGAATGTGCTCCTATTTTATTTAACAAAACCCAATTTTAATTGTCTCATATTCATGTTTTAACCACATTTCAAAAACCTTTTCAACCTTCTGGGTAATTAAACATATTAAGCCCCAGGATAAACTTTAAATCAAATGTTTATCCTATTGCTGCACAATGCTGTTATTGGACTGTTATTGATTTTAAAAGCCGATTAATAATACTAATAATATCAATAATAATGCATACAAATGATAATTATTGCAGATTACAAATTATAAATAAATCATTTAGGGACAAGGGGGTGGGATTAAATAAGTTATACTTCTTCTCACTCCTTTTTGAACATTAGATGTGGCACTGTTTATGTTGATAATGCTGTTGTTGTTGTTGTTGTTGTAAATGTCATTTTTTGTTTTGTCATTTCTATGTTTTGATTTGTTTTTCATGACTATGCACTGCAACATTTGTTTTGTTTTTGTAATTTTACTTGTTCGAAATAAAATCAATCAATCAATCAAAAAAAAGTCAAAATCTTTTTTCCTCTGCTGTGACTGTAGAAGGACTTCATGTCTCTGGAGCTGTCCGAGGGGAAGTGAAGGTGAACTTTGACCTCGGCTCAGGAGTCGGCAGCGCCCTCTCAGCCAGCCGGCACAACGACGGACACTGGAAGTCCCTCACCATGTCACGGAACAAGAAAACAGGTAACCACAGCAACAACAACAGTCTGAAAAAGCTAATTATTTGTAGAGTATAAATGATGACTGATAACCTAAATTATAATGTAGTAAAACCAATAATG